TCTGGGCTTCTAGAGGGAGCTCTTCCTGCTGTCGAAGCAAGAGCTCTACCCGAGGGCATGTAGATGCTTCGACGTGTTTGCGCAGATAGAACACTGTTCGGAATGTTGCTCTACAGGCGATGCAAGTTGCTGACCCTGGCATTGAATGCAAAATAGGGTCAAATTTGGGTCCTTTCAAGCTTTGCTGCGAGTCTGGGTGGGCCTTCTGCAGGTGGCGACGGAGTGCCCCGGTACCAGAGAGACATGCTCCACACTCGCCGCAGGTCAGGATCTTATCCTCTACTGATTGCGAGGAGAAGTCAATGGCAAGGCCTTCCAGAGCCTGGCTGATTGCCTCAGCGCGCAGCTTGTAGTGTGGGAGGAGCTGAGGATCTGAGTGTTGCTGTCTCTTAATGAACTGTGTCAGCCTCTTTTGCAGCTGCTCCTTCACGTGAGGAATCCGTACTCTCCGGAGTAACTCCTGGTTGGATTCCTTCGTTTCCTGGGAGTAGCTCCGCAGGACAAACCGAAGTTGGTACATCATGTGTGAATGGAGCTTCTGCAATCCCTGCTGTGTCAGTCCTACCACGTGAAGGGCATACAGAGCAGAGGCCCACGCAGTTATTGTCCAAATTGACAGACGACGTCTGTCTGATAGGACTCGATGGTTCCTAACTGCATGGGCGACTTCTGACATTGCTAGCTTACTGGATGACAGCCGATGTTTAAGGGTCTTCATTTCGTAGTCATGATAAGAAAGAATGACCCCCAGGTATGGGACCTGGTACCGCAGCGATATCAACTTGCCCGAAGGGAGTTCCACAAACTTCTCTCCATCTACCTGGCGAAATAGCTTTTTCCTAATTGTCGAGGCTGAACCTCCTTGTAGCTGCAGCAGTATTGCTGACTTGGACGGATTGACCTTGAACCCAAGTTCAACCAATTGATCCAGAAGAAGGTCGCAGTACCCTAGTGCTGTAATGAGGCCAGACTCAGTCTCGAAATGCGACTGAATCAAGCTATCATCCGCATACATGGTGAGAAGTTTAACTAGTTCGGAGGGGCTGATTTTTCCAGAGAGCTTCCTAAAGAGAAGCCCGGATGCAAAGGCGAATAGGGAAGGTGCAAGCTTGCATCCCTGCTTGATTCCCCTGCGTGTGGCTATCTCAAAGCTCTGATCGCTGGCTGTCATCTTGTACAAGGCTTTGATGTGGAGATGGCCCACCACCTCTATAAGAAGAGGGTCTGCTTGTTCAGCTTCCAGGGCTTCTCTTAATCGTAGCCTGTCCACAGTGTCAAAAGCTTTGCTCATGTCAACGCTCATCGTGAGACTGCCCCTGAGCTTGAGCCCCTGTTGTCCCTTACCAGCCGCTCTAGTTGTAAGGGCCTGCCTGAACCTGGCCTGATCCACATGTGTGAGGGCCTTGCAGATCGCCTCCTCTGTGCCCCTACCTGGTACGAAGCCAAACTGAGAGACTCCTTGCATTGCTTGATGGAGGGTGGACTTGAGTCTCTGCCTCACAAGTCCTGCCAGGACCTTGCCCTCAGGTGCTATCACCCCGATCGGACGGAGTGATGTTGGCTTATCTGGCTTCTTGGGGGGCTTTGGGAGCCAAGAGATCTGTGACGAGGTGACGCTGTCCGAAAGCCTTCCTGCAGTGACTTCCCTATTGAGAGTGTCCGAGATGAGCCGAATAGCGTTGGGGCCTAGGGAGCGCCAAGCTACTATGGGAGGACTTTCTTTAGGAACTGCTTTGCCAAGCTTTATAGTGCCTAGCTGTTCTTGAACTTCTTGCTCGGTGATGTGCAGGCTGCCTTGTATCCCTGTGAGCGGGAAGTCGTCCCCTGCTCCAAACAGTTCAATGGAGTATTCCTCTAATTGTCTACGTTCTTCCTTGGCTGTTAGGAAGCGACCCTCTGAGTCACGTAGCTGAACTCTTTCCTGAGGCCTCCCCGACCGGAAGCGCTTGATCACCTTGTAGAGGGAATGACTCCCGTCTTGCTTGGATTTAAGCTCTGCCTGCTCGAGTTGTTCATCTATTTCCTGTCGTCGCCTTTCCTGCTTCTGACGCTTTGCTACCCTCGCCTGTGCACTTTGCTGAGACAGCGACAGCCAGCAGCGAAATACCATTCGGACCTGCAACTCCGGCAAGAACTCTGCTAAGACCTTGACTGACATTGGGAGTGAGCGCAACACTGTGCGCTCTGCCCAAATGCTGAGATCTGATCTTTGTGCTGCTCCCTTTCTCTTGGGAAAGTGAGTCGCGAGGGCCGAGTTCATTGCTTGATGGAGACTCTGCCAGGTTTGGGGATGATCCTGAAGGAGGGAGTCTACCTCCCTGGCAAATGCCTGTATTTTCGGGGAACGGTGTCTGTAGCAGTCCTCCATTGCCTGCTGGTCATAGGGTTTTGAGGCTTGGGCGGAGTATCTCCTGCTGTGCCTCAGTTTACCAAGAAGGGGGAAATGCCTACTACCATCCCTCCAGGATGCCACTGGGAAGGTCCTTAGTGGCCGGCAAAACCTGGCAGGGCCTTGGGACTGTGCAATCCTGACAAACGAGAAGTCAATCTGTGAAACAGAGTTGCCTTGTTCGTGGGTGGCTGGTCTATGCACTCCCCAAGTGTTGGTTGCGACTAGCTGGTGCTCCGACAGTAGGGTCTGGAGATCCTTAGATCCGCGATGCCCGAGTCTGCAAGCCTGGATCGTGCATGGCCCTACGTGTTTGTTGTCGGTCTTGAGCGAGGAGTTAAAATCTCCTAGCACAAGGAGAGTGTTGCGATTGGGAACAGCTCGGATGGACTTACTTAGGGCGTGAAGGGTCTGCTTCCGGGTTTCCTTATTCTGAGCGACTGTCTCCTTAGAGCGCCAAACGTATTGATAGCAGCTGAAGACGTCCAGTGAGATGCCGTTGCTCGGCACCCGGACCTGGAGAACTCTTCCTGGAACAACCTCGTTGTAGCGAAGATCCTGTGACTTGCACAGCGTGGAGTGCACCATTATGAGGACCCCGGCTCCCTTCTCCCCTGTGGAACCAGAGCTGATCACGTGCCAACCTGACTTGCTGAATTGCCATGAGCCCCTCCAGTGTGTTTCCTGAATTGCTACCAGCTTCACATCCTGAAATGCGGCACTTTGCAGTACGGAGAGTAACTCTTCCCAAACTGCTGTTGTGAGAGATCCTGCGTTCCAGGATAGATAGCTGAGATTCTTATCTTCTGTAAATTTTGAAGGCCGAGTCCTTCTGCCGGGATTGGTGGGCTTTACATGTGCCGGAGCAACTCCAAGCTCTGTTGACGACATCGTCCTTCCCTTGTAGACCGCACTACCTTCAAGCAGAGCTTTACGTGCTGCCCTTTGATAAGAGCGTTTACCCTTCCCTTTAGGAACGGGCTGATGCTTGGTCGAACCACTAGGCTGTTTCGCAGCACTCATGTTGAGTACGGCTCCTGTCGGCTTCGCAATACCGACAACCCTCACCTCTGGGAGATGTTAGAGAGCTGTAAATCTAATACTCCCTCCCGGACTTGGGACCGGGACTGCTCAGGCGCTGACAAATGCCATGGCAAGAAAGGAAAAAGGCAACTGTACTAGCCTGACCTTTCCTGAGCCGAGAGGCTTACAACAACAGCAGCAACAACAGCAACAACAATAACAACCACAACGACCACGACAACGACCACGACCACGACCACGACCACTACCACTGCTTACTGCTGCTGCTGCTTGCTGCTACCGGAAGGAGCACGAGCAGGAGCAGGAGCACCACTAGCAGTAGCAGCAGCGGTAGCCGTAGCTGTAGCCGTAGCCGCAGCAGCAGCGGCAGGAGCAGGAGCACTGGCAGCGGCTGAACTTTTTGTAGCGGCGTCGCTCAGCAAATTTGGCGACAAACGAAGCTTCCGGCATCTTCCAGACCCTAGACCCTAAAACCCACAAGTATAGCATGGTTCGGGTCCAGCCCGAAGCCCAAGCCCTAAAGCCATCAAGCCCTAAAGGTTCCCAAACCTTAACCTAAAACCAAGTCATACAATAATAAAAGTGTAAAGGGCTCATGGCTGTCATGGCTGGGGCTTAGGCTACTCGTAAAACCTTGATGTGAGGAAGCTTCCGGGCATTTCCGGGCCAAGCAAAGGCGACACTTCCCTTCATGCCTTTGCGCCTGCCCTCTTTGCGAGAGTCTTGGGGGTGATGCAGCAGGGTAGCATTGGTTAAAGATGCACTTTTGGGCGGTGTACAGGTCGTCGGATGCTTTGAGCATGAAGAAGACATTGGATTAGCAGTTTTGGGCCTGGGAGCCTCCAGGCATGGGACTAAACATTCAGTGGGGCTTTGAGGTGGACGAATCCGAATTTGGAAGCTTTGGATTTTGGGTTTGGTGTGTGTGCGCGTGTGTTTAGGGATTCGGGCTTCATGGTGTAAGGTTTTGGATCTGGAGTTCTGGTGTTGAGGGTTTTGGAGCTCGGGGTTTGCAGTTTTAAGGGATGGCTCCATCACCGCCGAGACAGGAATTCAAGCAGCCCTCCAGGCCCTGCTGCATGCCTCTCTCCGCCGTACAAAACCATTGTCGTTTCCTAGTACTGTTGCTGCGAACACTCTTATGACAAGCCTGGTGTGTTGCCTCACCATTTGGTGTTGGTCTTGCAAGATGAGAAGACAGGTAGATGGTTGCACTCGTCGGAGTAATGTCATTCCTGGTGTCGTACAGTATCCTTAACCCCAAACACGACACCCAAAAACTCAACACAACAGGAGTAGCAGCTTGCGGAGGAGCAGCACGAAAGGCACTGGAGACTGACATTGTAACCCCCTGTATGAACCCGAAAACATCTGAAGGGTAAACACCCTCAAACTCTGAACCCAGGACCCCGCCTCGAGCTTTCAACTCTACAACGAGGTCGGGTTCTTACAGCGCCGTTCACGGTTTGATTCAAAAATACTCGCACGCATCTTCCTTCTGGCTTGCAAGCCTACAGCTCAAATTACACTGGAACACTAAGAAAGCCTGAAAGCCTGAAATGCCGCCTCAAATAGCAAATGTCACCCAAACCCCAGAAGCTTCTTGATCCATACACTCCGTCGCCTCTGCCATGTCTCTCCTCATGCGGCAACTCCACCTGTAAAGCCCCAAATCCTGGCGCTCAAAACCCTAAACAATGAACCCCTTAAGCCGATACCTAGACCCCCAACCACCCGCCGTTGGAGCCTAACTACCCACTAGAAGGACCATTAGCCCGGTACTTGGATAGGTGCTGGTGCTATTCTTCCTGCAAGCCCCAAGGCCAATAGACATTCAGGTCTCCTCTGCAGGTGTCTCGCTGGCATTCGCAGCATGCGAAGCCTCGCAGGAGAAGAGAAATAAAGCAAGGATTTTCAAGATTTTAGAATGCTAGAATGTGGTTGGACCTTCTGCCTACACATATTTGAATGCAAGGCAAACCACGTGTGGGAGAAAAAACCTGCACCCAGAAACAGAAGCTGGACTACAAGCATGAAAGAACGCTCTGACCCCCTCCGCACAAGCTACCAAGTCCGCAAGCTCAGGGCATCACTAGCTTTCAGCCCCTTGCTGATTGCAGGGAAAGCTGCCAGCCGTCAACACTTGGCTTCTCGAGTGAACTATGCCATTCAGGCAGCAGGCGATTAGCCCCTCGAGACCTTGGGCCTCGCTCGTCAGCTCGGAAAACGGCTGCAGAGTCTTCCCAAGATGCTCACTGGATGATGGTGTCCCTAGCAAGGAAATGCTGCCTGCATACCCCAAGAAGGTGACGGCCATCGAGCCCATAGACGGGCCAAGCAAGCTGTGCAGACGCAACGAAGCCGGAAGATTTGCCCGAGTCAAATCCAGGGACCCAAAGGCAGGGACAGTGTCGCGAGAGAAGTCAGATGACCTCTCTGGTCTGGGAAGGAGGAACCAGGTAGGGGCATCGAACTTGCTGAAGAAGGATGCGACGGATGTGGTTAGGACCCTGCAATAAAGAACACGAGCAGCCACCAAAAGAAGACTGCATTGGAGAGTATTGGTAGACCATGGTCTTGGGGATGTCTATAGGAAACCTGACGAGTAGGCGGGGGGGTTTTTTTTTTTCGAAGGTGCGGCCAACCCTCTTTTTTCGGAGGTGCGGCCAAGGATTTGTTCAGGTTGGACACCAAGGATCCTTGTAGAGGGTTCATCGGCGATGTAAAGAATTTGCGCCCCACCACAGCGCCAGCGCTTCGACACGCAGAATCCATGTAGAGGGTTCATCGGGGTCGTAGAGAATTTGCGCCGCACCACAGCGCCAGCGCTTGGAGGCGCAGGATCCCTGTGGATGGTTCATCGGGGACGTAGAAAATTTGCACCGCACCACAGAGCCAACGCTTCGAGGGGCAGGATCCCTGTGGAGGGTTCATCGGGGACGTAGAAAATTTGCACCGCACCACAGAGCCAACGCTTCGAGGGGCAGGATCCCTGTGGAGGGTTCATCGGGGACGTAGACAATTGGCGCCGCACCACAGCGCCAGCGCTTCGAAGCGCAGGATCCCTGGGTGAAGCATCAAAAAAAACTAATCATCAACAACAAATGAAATCCAGGGATCAACAAAAAACTGATTTAAAAAAAAGAGCATCACAAACAAATTAAATTATAGGAAATGAAGCCATTTCCAAAACTATTTGCCTTGGTGGCGGTGGTGGTGTCGTTGATGTCGTTGCTGTCGTCGTTGGTGGTGGTGGTGTCGTTGATGTCGTCGTGTTGTTGCTGCTCTTCGCGTTAAACCCCCTGGAGCGTGGCTGTCTGGCTTTCCCCTTCTTGTGTGTTGCCGAATACGTGTATGTTCATTTCTTCGCGGGCTTACAGAGCGGGGAGTTAATTTAGTCTGAAAAAAGCGGGGGGGTTGGGGGGGGCGCAGCCCCCCCCATTTGCAATCCTTTTAAATCCTTCAGGATTGATTTTGTCTTCTTTGCGTTAAACCCCCCTGAAGCATTATTGTCTGGCTTCCCCTGCTTGTGTGTTGGCGGATACGTTTTTGTGCATTTTCCGTGGCTTTAGAGAGCGGGGAGTTTAGTCTAAAAAAGCGGGGGGGTTGGGGGGGGCGCAGCCCCCCCCATTTGCAAACCTTTTAAATCCTTCAGGATTGATTTGGTCTTCTTCGCGTTAAAACCCCCTGAAGCATTGTTGTCTGGCTTCATTTTTTTTGTGTTGACGAACACGGTTTTATTTATTTCGTAGCAAACGACCGGCTGGCAAACACGTTATTGTTGATTACTTCGTGGCTCAAGAGAGCTTCCAAGTCATTCATGATTGATTGTGTTGCTTCGCGTGTAACCCCGCTGAAACAACAACCCAAGAAAATCCGTGTTGTGAATCTGGGTTCCGAACCTGAATTTCCAACCGTCTGTCTTACTTCTTTTCTTTCTTTCTGTTCTTCTTCCTTGCTTTGGTCCTTGTTCTGGGGTGTTTCGTTCTGTCTTCCTGGGTTCTTTTCGTTTCAGGTGGAAAAACCAAGAAAAGCACACCAAATCCGTCCAAAACGTGAGGAAAATAGTGTTTTCCCCAGGAAAACCATGGAAAAACACCAAACAAAAAAAAACAACAACAAGATCCAAAATAATGGGCCCTCCATATGTATGTATATATATATATACACACACACACACACACTCTCTCTCTCTCTCTCTCTCTCTCTCTCTCTCTCTCTCTCTCTGTATGAATATGTATATATATATATATATATATACACTATATATATATATATATATACACTATACTTACTATATATGCTATATATACTATATATACTATATAGACTATATATACTATATATATATACATATATATATATATATGTATGCTGTATATACTGTATGTACTATATTTACTATATAATATATATATATATATACCATATATACAATATGTATATAATATATACATATATATATATACTATATCTACTATATTTACTATACCTACTATATCTCTTATATCTACTATATCTCTTATAACTACTATATCTACCATATCTACTATATCTACTATATATGCTATATCTACTGTATGTACTATATAAAATAATATATACTATAGATACTATATAAACTGTATATACTAATACTATATCTACTTAATCTACTACATATACTATACATATATACTCTATATATATATATACATATATACATACTGTATATATTATGTACACTATATATATACTATATATACTTTATACATTATATATACTATATATACTGTAGATAAAAATATACAATATAAACTCTATATACTATATATATATATACTACATATATATACTACATATATATATATGTATATACTATATGAATATATATTATATATACACATGTTATATGTATATACTGTACATACTATATCTAGTATACATACTATATATACTACATGTACTATGTATACTATGTATACTATGTATACATATATATATATATATGTATATGTGTTTTTACTTTATATACTGATGTACTACCGTCCTTCCTTTCTTCCTTCTTTCTTTCCTTCCTTGCTTCCTTCCTTCCTTCCTTCGTTCCTTTCCTTCCTTCCTTCCTTCCTTCGTTCCTTTGCTTCTTTCCTTTCTTCCTTCGATCCTTCTTCCTTGCTTAGTTGCTTCCTTTCCTTCCTTCCTTCCTTCCTTCCTTCCATCCTTCCTTCCTTGTCTCCTTGCTTTCTTGCTTTCTTCCTTCCTTCCTTCCTTCCTTCTCTCCCTTCTTCTTTCCTTCTTCCTTCCTTCCTTCCTCCTTCCTTGTTTCCTTGCTTTCTTCCTTCCCTGTGTAAATAACAGGACGTGGAGGCAAAAAAAAGAGGACCGAAAAGAAGGACGCAAACAAAAACGGATTCCCGTTCTTGTTTCTCTTTCATTCCTTGCTAGCTCCTCTGCTTTCTTGCTTTCTTTTGTGCTTTCTTCCTGGCTTTCTTTCCTTCATCATCTTTCTTCTGGTTTTCTTACTTCTGAAATTTTGCTTTATTTTTGTTATTCCTTGTTTGCTTTCTTGTTGCTTTTGCGGGACCGAGGGACCGGCGGACCGCAGGACCAGGAGACCACGGCACCAGGAGACCACGGGACCAGAGGACCAGCAGACCAGAGGACCAGGGGACCACAGGACCAAGGACCAGAAAACTAGGGGACCGCATGCACGGACACCACAGGACCAGAGGACCAGCAGACCGGAGGCCCAGGGGACCACAGGACCCAGGACCAGAGGACTAGGGGACCGCATGCACCAGGGACCCTTGGCCGCACCTCGCAAACAAGGGTTGGCCGCACCTTCGAAAAAAAAAAACCATGGCCCTGACGAGTACTGGGCCCAATAAATCAGACAGCTAGACGAAGACCGGACATGAAGCAGTCATCAAAGCAAGATGTTGGGCTCGGGGGGATCATCTTGGACTAACTTGTGGACTGTAGGATTCCTGCTAACCGTACCTTTGTGGTTCAAGTTTCGGGTTCAGGGTGCAGGGTTGAAATCGGGGTTTGGGGCATAGGTTTCAGCTTGCAGGGCATGAAAAATTTGGGGGCCTGAGATGATATTAACCCGACAGCATCTAGGCCAAACACCCTTAACCCTTAAATCAACCTGAACCACTGAAACCTCAAACCTAAACCCCTAAACCCCTAAACCCTAAACCCGTGAACCCTTGAAATCTGAAACACCGAGCCCCTAAACCCAAGCTTGGAGCCCGACCGATCTAGGGCTTTGATGGGCTAGCATATTAAGGGCCACGTGGATATGTACATATTTATATATATACACACACTAGTATTGGAAACTCTATTTCAACTGTCACTGAGTGGGGGCAATAAACCGATCCTTGATTCAGATGTCTTGACAAGTTGCGGGATGCCAGGCCGGACTTCAACCCCCCAAACGTAAAAAAGCAAAGCAAAAACCATCAACTCGTAGTCCAACAAAGATTATGCCACCAAGCCCAGTAAAAGCATCTCCTGGAAGGGCATCTCGCCGGCGTTGGCAATGTCGGATTCCGGGTTGTCCTAGCGAGAGAGGGGTCAAAAACGGTGAGATTGCTGTTCTGATCTCAGTCTTGAGTGGGTTTACGGTTGAGTTGCTTAGGGTTTTTTTGGTTTAGGCTTGGTTAATCAAAGACGGAGGGGTTGGAAGCTTAATTGGAATATCCCTGTCTCCAGCATCTGCTGATGAGGTACTTGGGTCTAGGGTCATAGCAAGTTATACGTAAGTTTAGTGTTGTAGCTTTTTGGACGCTATGACATTTCGCTGCAGCCGCGAACGACAGTGGCCAAGAGATAAAACCTGCCAGGCCACCTACCCCAAACCGGATCTAACAACCTCCGTAAGCTGCACACCCCTTGCTTTCTGCACCTGAACCTTCAAGCCCAACATGCCTCAAGCCGCGAATGAATGTTTGCATGAACTCTATCAACCCTGCGCTCAAGCCCATACCTCACCCAGAAAAGCTCCTCCTGTGCAAGCATCTCGCTTGCCTTCGCAAGCTCGGCTTGCGAATCGGCCTCTCAAGGATTCAAAGCAAAAGGACTGGAATGGGCACACTCACAATAGGTGTCCTCCAGAAAGCGTGCATGCCAATTTGACAAGCCCCGGCGATGGAAAACTGACCAGGGCTAAGGATTTAGGGCATCTCCTGCGTGGGAATCTCGTCGGCATTCGCAAGCTCTGGTTTGAAGTTGTCCTGAAGGAACTTGACCGTAAACTATCTGGCGCCGAAACGGCACATCCTAAACCTAAGGCTCTATGCTGGTGGCTTTGAGGAAAGCAGCCAAAATAGTCACTGAAACATTGTTTACTTTCTTGGGGTTAGGAGGATCCTGTAACGACGTACAGCACGATCGCTCACAAGTGGCTACTCTGTGTGTCGACAGGACTCCGCGTTTCTAGAAATTGCACACCCTGCACGCCATTTGGGTTCAGAAGCTTATGGCTCAAGAGATTTTGGGTTTATAGCTGCTGATCGCGCTGAGGGCCTGGCAGAAGAGGACAGGGCCTGGCAGAGAAAAGGACACTTTCGCACCCATGAGCCAGCACGCGAGCGCGAAGATTCTGCACTAACATCAGGCGCCCATAGATGTCCACTCCCTGTGCTGAAAATTGCCCGCATAGACGCGGGAACCCAGAACTCTTCCGCATTCATCCACACTCGCTGTCGTCTAAGCTGTTGCATGCACTGCTGCAGGCTATCCTGCACCTACGTCTCACGGCGGCGCAAAAACTACTACCGAACTGTATGGTACCCTCACCTGGGTCTTCCTTACGCTCCACCAGCCGTACCGACTGTCCGCATTCACCACACCCCAACGGTACTGCGCGAGCCTCGACCGTTCTCGCGACACAACAAGCCGGCCATGTGTGTAGACACCGGCAGGACTGCCCGGGCCTGGTTTCTCGGCCACCCTCCCTGTGCCGGCTCACGGAAACTCGGATTCCAGACTAAAGCTTGTACTACAAATCAATGAATATCTACGATCATGTAGCCTGTGATCCAGCCGGCTCACAGGAACGTCGATTCAGGCTCCTTCCCCCCACGCACTTTCTATTGACAGGCAGAATCCACACACACACTCACACACAGCCGTGTATTTATTTCAAACGCAAGAAATACCGCCAATTGAGGCGCCCGCACCAGCCTTTATCTTGGATAATGTTTTGTGAGGTCGCAACAACCATCTTCAGACTGCTTTGCAATGCCGCCAATCATTCCAGCGTGCGCTACAAACAGTCGAGGAATTCCTGAGTTCAATCATCAGCAAAAGCCAACCCCTCAAAAAAAACAGTTCCCCACGTGTTTTTGCTGGAATACACGAGAAACCCCTGTGCAACAAAACGTGGCAAGAATCGAGCCCCCTATTCGTGGAGGTCCCCACCGACCGAACACCTGTTTCGCGTCCCTGCAAGAACAGGCGCTCGACCACCCGGACAAACAGCATCTCAGCTCGTGGCCACCCTCACGTGCGCCGCACCCTCCCTCGTCCATTTCGACTGGTCTCAAGAGTCTTTTCGGCCTTTACCTGTCGCACTGCGACCTCGCCCGGTGGAAATGCTGAAGGAGAACCCAACCCCAGAGGGTTCTGGGAAAAAGAACAATGGGATCTGGCGAAACCCCCACAGCACCGAGGATCTCCCAAATTCCCACTTGCATGCACGTGGCACTCCAAGAAACCCGATAAATCCAAACAGCCGCCAGGATCGGAGCAGCCTTCTTCATCTCGGAGATGAGCTGCTTTGCAATCGACAGCTCCCTAAGTTTTTGCAGCTTGTGAGTTTTTTTGTCCCTGAACCCCAGCATGGACGTGGCGCTGCAGAGGAGTACGTCTGAGCTTCGTGCTTCTCCAGGGCTTCCCTCTGAGCCTGCACAGTTGACTGAAAACCGCAGTTCAGTACACAGCGCAAGAATGACAGCTTGGGAAAACTGCGCACACGCCGTCGCACCTTCCACCGTAGAAGTTCCTCCACGGAGACCTGTCTGAGTGGAGATTTCAGGATCCTTCGAAGCACTGATCGCTGCGCGGGTGCCTTCGCGAACCCGCTGGTCTCTGCCTGAATACAACCACGGAACGACCAACGGATGGCACACAGCTTCGAGCAGGGTTGCTGCGGACTGGTTCCACCACACACAACCCTAAGCAGTGAAAGCTTTGCAGCAAATGCATCGGCGGGCCTGGTGGAGTGCAGCTTCCTGTCCCTGCATTGTCGTTATAGCGGGGCATGATGCGTTCACGTGAACGACAAAGTACGGGCCACATCCAAAGCCCTGTATCTGAGCAGTCCGCACTCCGGCAAAGAATCTCGGTGCGGCAGGTGCGCTTTGATGTCAATCTAGAGCTTGGGTGCAGCTTGAGAAGAGTGGATGTGCACAGACAAAAGAATCCGAAGACGACCTCAAAACGAAACGGCGAAAACCCCATCATGAGTGGGACGTGTATGTAAAGAATCCTTCGGCCTAATGTGGCGTCTGCTGTTGTATGGTGGGAGGCCCCTGAACGATTGCACTAAAGGGGCCGAGTGGTTCAGCGAAACAAACAATAGGTGTGCACAAAAGCGCGTCCGACATTATCGACACTTTGATAATGCCAGATATACCTGGCGACACCGACCCCTCGATGCATGATGTATGATGACTGTTGACACTTGCGAACACTGTCGGCAACATACCGCATGAGAGTCCCAACAAAACGATGCCAGCTTCCAGGACGGTGATGCCGTATGCATGCGGCTGCTGCTGCAGATTCGGGCTTCGATGATCCAAGATCGACGACGCGTGCGAAGATGACCAGCACGACACGTGACTGTTGCTGCCAAGACGACGAGGTCGTTTGCCATCTCGAGATCAATGCTTCGAGCTGTACCCTGAGGGTCCAACCTTTTGCTGTTCCGCACGCACGGCACGAAGGAGGGACTCCATGGGCCTTCCAGAAAGAGCACGAGTTGCTGCAAAATAACAAAGAATTCGATGTGGAAGGTCATGAAGCTCCTGGCCTCTCCCGGGCGCGGAAACCGAAAAGAGCCAACAGCTGCGATGTTTCAGGTACACATGCAATGTCGGCATGCCAGGTTTTGACCATCATGAGTACAAGAAGCGTGCAAGGTTACGGACTCTGGCTTTTTTGCCAAGTGCTGCGCGACTGCCTCGTACGCCGCAGCGAGATCCTGAAACCTTGCTGACAACAGCTTACTGAGCAACAGAAAGCACGGTCTTGGACGTTTGTTTGTAACAATGCAACACGATCAATGTCATGAACATGCATATTTCTGTTTGGTATATCAGCAATGATTTCGATTGTTTTGGCTTATGCATACGATATAATGGAAAAGTTCATTCATTAAGCAGGGAGGGGAAAGGGGTTGAGAAAGTGCGCTGGCAAAAGTCGGGGGTCGAAATAACGGGTCAGGGGGATGGAAAAAACGAGGTTGGGGGTTGGATAAAACGCGTTTCCATGTCAGGGGAGGGGCGAGATGAGGAAGGTTGAAAAAAGTGGTGCTCATGGTTCACGCAGGAGCCATCGTGGACGAGTTGGAAACGAGGGAGGGTTAACAAAACGTGAAGGGGAGGCTTTACAAACAAGCGGCGCAAAAAGTTGCGATTCTTACAAGCAGTATGTTGCTCATGAGCGCAATGGTGTTGCTTAGAAGCAGTCGGGTTGCTTGCGTTGTAAGCAGGCGTGTTGGCGGGATGGGGGTCTTCGAATACCATGCAGTGAAAATCTTTTCAATGATATGATGGAAAGCCGCGGCAGAAATGGTGGTTTGCAAGCGTCCCATTCCTCCAATGTCTCAAGTTTCGAAGCATCGACAAATGGTGGAATACATATTGTTCAGGCTCAGGCCTTAAGGATGTCTTGGGGTTCGCTTGGTGCTTATAAGCAGCATCCTGAATAGAGCCAAGACATCTTGTGCAGCTCCGCAAACCTTATCCATACATGTCAGAAACAAGGATTAAAAAAACAAGCGCAGCTGCTGAGATCTGAGAAGCATTGAGAATCAAGGTCTCTTGGTCAACCCTGGGCACCCAGCACATCATTTCATGACTTGTTCACAAGACCAGGGAGGCTTCCAGAACACGAATTGAGCAAAGCTGTTGCTGAAAAGGTCTCCTTGTTTGCAGCTGCCTTATAAACATTCGTCAGGAATCAAAACTAGATAACAAGCAACCGTCGAAGACCGTCTTCTCCCTAGAACAATGACCACGACGAGCCGGCCATAGCACACCCGGGCTCCTTGCTCCTTCGTGGCTGCGGGGCGGCCAGGATGCTTGTCTGGATGGCATTGGAATGCCAACACTCGGTACCGGCTCCTGCATCCGCAAAAACTCAATGTCACAAGCTGCAAGCTTGAACTGCTCGTGCCTGACGGCGTCAAGTGTGGCATCCGGTTCCTCGATTCTCACCAGCTCCGACAAAGAAAACAAGTACTGCTACTGGTTGCACGCGGCATGCAAGGCCACGGCCAGGCCAAGCATCCTGAAGTGCACCAGCACTTCTTGCGGAACTTCTTCGTCCAGCTCGTCCATGGACCCCTGCCAGGCCCAACAAATCCCCTGTGTCTTTGCAAGTGAGATGTCATGACATGCCGCCTGCAGGAAGCGCTCCGCACGCCGCAGAAGATCCTTTCCAGCGCGCCCAGACGAATGAGGTCAGCTTCTTTGCAGACTTCACGAAACGAGGCAACAAGACACATTGCGCAGCAGCTGAGGGCACACCTGCACGGTCCGGTCCTGTCATATTTCCGGACAATCGGGTCAGCAGGCTATCTAATGCCAGTACGACGGCGAAGTTCTCAGGGCTAAAACGGCTAAAGCGCGTCGCGAAAGGACGCGATGACCAGCGACATGAACACAGACCTCGGACAGTCTGCCTGATGAGGTGCTGCCACGAACGAATGCCACGAAACGACGAAGAGACAGACAAACCGACCTTCAATGCGCTAGAGTCCTGAGCGCTTTGTCGACCCGGAGCTTTCCAAGGAACGGAGTGGGATTAAAACCGAAACATTAACCCAAACCCAACAGCGCAAGGATCATAGAATCATACTTATTGGAAACGCAAGTCTTGCGATTGGGCTCTGCATCCCGCCCGAGGGCCGTTCTGTTCAATTCAAAGTCCCTGTACCATGCCGCTAAGACATGTCAGCAGATGCATTTTCGCAACACACACACACACCCATTACGCAGCAAGCAGCGTACACAAACGAAAACGTGCATGGCAGCTCCTTCGGCGCCTCTTTTGGGGTGAAGCCCTGCCAAGCCCAACAAGTCCCCTGTGTCTTTGCAAGTGAAGAGTCATGACATGCCGCCTCCAGGAAGATCTCCGCCCGACGCAGAAGATCCTTTCGCGCGCGCGCCTCACGAATGAGGTCAACTTCTTGGCAGAGCTCGCGAAACGAGTCAACAAGACGGGGCAGCGCATCCTGTTAGCCCTAAGCAATTCGGGAGGTTCACACTGCCTCCAAGGAAGTGTCCACGGCATCAGAACGGTCCCGCGGCCTTAAGCGTGTGTGCATATGTGATCCAGTGTTGCCATAGGCTCCGTTGGCATCTCGTGTTCCAACCGGGGGCTGTTCGAAGGGCTGTCGAGGCTGTAGAGGTCTGGAGACTGGCAGTCCTGATTGTGAGCAGCACAGAAGCATGTGACTCGATTCCCAACTCGCAGCACTTGTCCTGCAGTGGTGGCCCACGACACTCGGGGGTGAGTGTAGAACTTGGTGAGTCCCTGAGCTTGTGTGGAACAGCCAACAAGGTACCAAGGAGCTCGCCTTTCAAGCCGAAAAGCACGTCGCAAGCCCTTGGCGTCGCATCAAGTGGAAACTCCAGCCTGGTTTGTGCAAACAAGATCAGCGATGTGCTGCTTCCATCGCGAGGAAGGTTAGAATTCAAAACAGTTACAGGGCAGACACGAGGTTGCTCTGATCTCAGCATCAAACAGAAGCAGACCAAACATCCAGGGCTCAGGCTCAGCGTTGTCACGGAGGCTCGCCGCCTTTAGAGGAAGGAAACTCTCTAACCACTCTAAGCAGATAAAGCCTTAAAAATTCTGTGTCACCGCAGGGACTCTTGATGGCAGCCGGTCCTCCGCCGAATTGCTTTCATCGACATCCAAAGGCCTGGGTAATCAAATCTCAAGCTCGTCAATACGGTGCATCACTGAACTCTTCTTGCTGAACTTCTTACCAAGGCGGGCAAGGGCGATTTTGGGCACATCATGACACCTACTCTTTCAAGCCTGGCGGCCTCACATGCACAAGCCAAGTCAAGTCTTGGCCGCTCCTGACCCGGACGGTTCAGAAGCCCAAAAGGGGCACGCATCATGAGCATCACTGACCCTAGACCAGTGCCCAGCGGCTCCAAAATCAGGCAGAAACGACGTTGTCGACGCGTTCCTACCTCTGCCTATTGACACCCATTTCCTTTTGTTTCCCGACTTGACTGCCCTTACCTTCCCAAAGCCTCAACCCTCCGAGCCCAAAACCTTCTAAACTCCTCAACCCCTTACCCTTGAATAAAACACCTCAGCTGCATGAAAAAGCTTAAGCCGCTGGGCCCCGACCGACCGCGAAATCATTGCACCCCTGAAACCTTAAGGAAACTATGCGACTCATGCAGGATTTTGGACGTCTCACGTCGCATACCATTTCCCGGTTGTACACCCCGGACTTCCATTCTTCAAGCACGCTGTTTCTGAGAGCGGGCTGCAGCTGGTGCACAGTGCAGCCAAGAAGGAAAAAGTACCCGGAAACGTTTTGAATGATATGGGTAGATGGCTCCCTCGGCCGGCAAACCTCAAACAGTTTTCGGGTTGTGTGCTTCGGGTTTTCATCTTGGAAATGACTTACCCTCAACCGGACAACATGAGGGCGATGCTGTCTGATTGATCCTGGATTTGCTCAAGGCATACTCGAAGGACGAGATGTCTGACCGACAGGCTGCTGAACCAGCCTGAGCGTGACATCAAGAAGTCCGCCTGCGAATCTGCGGCAGTGTGTAAGCCCTGGACGTGGAGTCTCACTCGTTTCACCCTCCCTTTTTCTCTGTGGGCAAGCCCCAGGCGACGCTCACTGGTGCCGATGCTTGGTTCTTGGGGCAGAGCGGGATTAAACAGCTCAACTGAACACGCAGACAACAATGGGTGTAGGCTTCTCGGCTCCCGATGGTCACCAGCACACCAGAAGTTGCCGCCAGCCCAAAAAAAGGGCTGCGCATCATGAGCATCAGCAAGCCTCAAGTAATTGAGCGACTGCTCCGAGCAAACTGCCTGCGCGTACCAAGCGCGACCCTTCCATGATGACACGTGCAGGATCTTGGCATGGCTAGTGACAGAATCAAAGGCCACGACTGCCACGTCTTCTGATTCGCGAGCCATTGCTGCAACCTTCGGGTACAGACTTCACAAAGGCTCTATCATAGCGCAAATGTCTGTGCACTGCATCAATACGTCGTAGCAGCGACGGTAAGGTGATAGGCAACCGGCAAAAGTCACGTCCACCATCTGAACACTGCAGCTGGGACCCGGGCCAAGCTTCTGACGGGTAGTACGATGCAACGTCCAGGTCCTAGCACTGCTGGTTACAATGCTCGAGACTTTGTGCGCCGTGTCATTGCCTCTTGGTTGCATTTACCAACTTTAAGCCAACCCTTCATCTATGCCCACTCGCAATAAGGGGTTTAGGGGCTCTCGGGGTTTAGGGGCAGTGGAGCCGAACCCTTGGGGTTCTCTTCTGGAGTCTGGGAGTTTGCAGTGGTCAGAGCTTCTGGGTTCGTCTTTCTCGGGTGTGGGTGTCCTGAAACGGGGAAGCATTCACAGGAATCAAGGCTGCCGGGGTTTTAGCGCAGGGCTGAGCTTCTGAGAGCAGTGTCGGAGGACCTGGGTGTGTCTACACTGCAGGGTTTGCAGGTTTCGGCGCTGGAGAATTCAGAATAAAGAGTTTCCCAAAATTCTCAGCCCGCAAACGCCCGTCCCCGACGAAACCTCATCAAAAGCTCAGCCTTCTCGATGGCCTAATCACTGAAAATACTAAACTCTTAACCCATGTTGCATAAACATCTCAAAGTCGAAAACAGTCCCCAAGTCACTTCGACACGTTTCTTGATTAGGTGTGAAGCCGGCACAGCTGTTCACCAACTGAAACCGAATTGCAGTCCTCGGGCAACGGGTCTGCATTCGGACTTGGAGGACTCATCCAGTACTCAGCCTCATATTGTGCTCATGAAGCTGAACCGCTCGACTCTCAGCCGACCCTGAACCCCAGCCTGCATCTTGTCCTGCATGGACGCAGCGCGCTCAAAGTTTAACTGCAAGCTGCGAAAGCTGGAGAGTCACAGTCCTGTTGGAACATCGTGACGCTGCCAGGGCACCTGTCAGTCCGATGTGGAGGCGAAAGACAGCCGCTCGATGCTGCTGCTATTGCTGGAACAACTGCTGTTTCCACAACCACCTATGCAGCTGTTTGAAGGGTCTGGCCTGAAATGGACTTCATTGGCATCGTGCCTGGCGTCTGAGGAGCTTGTCTGAGAATTGCCGGGCCGCAGGTAATCACTCTAAGCTCCAGAGCAAAGTCCACCGTGCCATTGGACCCGGAAAAAACGACGCGAGCGCGTGAGAGCGCTGAGCCAGCGCAGGGGGGGGATTTTTGGCCTAGTGGCTAGCGGCCCCGCAAACCGCAAACCTTGGCGTCAGGAGCATCAAAGAGCCTCACATCCACGGGTGTCCGATTGGGGATGAGGGGCTGCGGCCAGACACTCAGTGCAGCGTAAAAATCCGGGACGAGAGGCGACTCCAGTGCAAACTGTCCTCTGCCGTGCTCTTACACGTACGTCCAGGGTTTAGCGGATGTAAAGTTTCCGGCAGGCCCAAGCGACGCTCACTGGTGCCGATGCTTGGTTCTTGGGGCAGAGCGGGATTAAACAGCTCAACTGAACACGCAGACAACAATGGGTGTAGGCTTCTCGGCTCCCGATGGTCACCAGCACACCAGAAGTTGCCGCCAGCCCAAAAAAAGGGCTGCGCATCATGAGCATCAGCAAGCCTCAAGTAATTGAGCGACTGCTCCGAGCAAACTGCCTGCGCGTACCAAGCGCGACCCTTCCATGATGACACGTGCAGGATCTTGGCATGGCTAGTGACAGAATCAAAGGCCACGACTGCCACGTCTTCTGATTCGCGAGCCATTGCTGCAACCTTCGGGTACAGACTTCACAAAGGCTCTATCATAGCGCAAATGTCTGTGCACTGCATCAATACGTCGTAGCAGCGACGGTAAGGTGATAGGCAACCGGCAAAAGTCACGTCCACCATCTGAACACTGCAGCTGGGACCCGGGCCAAGCTTCTGACGGGTAGTACGATGCAACGTCCAGGTCCTAGCACTGCTGGTTACAATGCTCGAGACTTTGTGCGCCGTGTCATTGCCTCTTGGTTGCATTTACCAACTTTAAGCCAACCCTTCATCTATGCCCACTCGCAATAAGGGGTTTAGGGGCTCTCGGGGTTTAGGGGCAGTGGAGCCGAACCCTTGGGGTTCTCTTCTGGAGTCTGGGAGTTTGCAGTGGTCAGAGCTTCTGGGTTCGTCTTTCTCGGGTGTGGGTGTCCTGAAACGGGAAAGCATTCACAGGAATCAAGGCTGCCGGGGTTTTAGCGCAGGGCTGAGCTTCTGAGAGCAGTGTCGGAGGACCTGGGTGTGTCTACAGTGCAGGGTTTGCAGGTTTCGGCGCTGGAGAATTCAGAATAAAGAGTTTCCCAAAATTCTCAGCCCGCAAACGCCCGGCCCCGACGAAACCTCATCAAAAGCTCAGCCTTCTCGATGGCCTAATCACTGAAAATACTAAACTCTTAACCCATGTTGCATAAACATCTCAAAGTCGAAAACAGTCCCCAAGTCACTTCGACACGGTTCTTGATTAGGTGTGAAGCCGGCACAGCTGTTCACCAACTGAAACCGAATTGCAGTCCTCGGGCAACGGGTCTGAATTCGGACTTGGAGGACTCATCCAGTACTCAGCCTCATATTGTGCTCATGAAGCTGAACCGCTCGACTCTCAGCCGACCCTGAACCCCAGCCTGCATCTTGTCCTGCATGGACGCAGCGCGCTCAAAGTTTAACTGCAAGCTGCGAAAGCTGGAGAGTCACAGTCCTGTTGGAACATCGTGACGCTGCCAGGGCACCTGTCAGTCCGATGTGGAGGCGAAAGACAGCCGCTCGATGCTGCTGCTATTGCTGGAACAACTGCTGTTTCCACAACCACCTATGCAGCTGTTTGAAGGGTCTGGCCTGAAATGGACTTCATTGGCATCGTGCCTGGCGTCTGAGGAGCTTGTCTGAGAATTGCCGGGCCGCAGGTAATTACTTTAAGCTCCAGAGCAAAGTCCACCGTGCCACTGGACCGGAAAAAACGACGCGAGCGCGTGAGAGCGCTGAGCCAGCGCAGGGGGGGGGGATTTTTGGCCTAGTGGCTAGCGGCCCCGCAAACCGCAAACCTTGGCGTCAGGAGCATCAAAGAGCCTCACATCCACGGGTGTCCGATTGGGGATGAGGGGCTGCGGCCAGACACTCAGTGCAGCGTAAAAATCCGGGACGAGAGGCGACTCCAGTGCAAACTGTCCTCTGCCGTGCTCTTACACGTACGTCCAGGGTTTAGCGGATGTAAAGTTTCCGGCAGGCCCAAGCGACGCTCACTGGTGCCGATGCTTGGTTCTTGGGGCAGAGCGGGATTAAACAGCTCAACTGAACACGTAGACAACAGTGGGTGTAGGCTTCTCGGCTCCCGATGGTCACCAGCACACCACAAGTTGCCGCCAGCCCAAAAAAAGGGCTGCGCATCATGAGCATCAGCAAGCCTCAAGTAATTGAGCGACTGCTCCGAGCAAACTGCCTGCGCGTACCAAGCGCGACCCTTCCATGATGACACGTGCAGGATCTTGGCATGGCTAGTGACAGAATCAAAGGCCACGACTGCCACGTCTTCTGATTCGCGAGCCATTGCTGCAACCTTCGGGTACAGACTTCACAAAGGCTCTATCATAGCGCAAATGTCTGTGCACTGCATCAATACGTCGTTGCAGGGACGGTAAGGTGATAGGCAACCGGCAAAAGTCACGTCCACCATCTGAACACTGCAGCTGGGACCCGGGCCAAGCTTCTGACGGGTAGTACGATGCAACGTCCAGGTCCTAGCACTGCTGGTTACAATGCTCGAGACTTTGTGCGCCGTGTCATTGCCTCTTGGTTGCATTTACCAACTTTAAGCCAACCCTTCATCTATGCCCACTCGCAATAAGGGGTTTAGGGGCTCTCGGGGTTTAGGGGCAGTGGAGCCGAACCCTTGGGGTTCTCTTCTGGAGTCTGGGAGTTTGCAGTGGTCAAAGCTTCTGGGTTCGTCTTTCTCGGGTGTGGGTGTCCTGAAACGGGGAAGCATTCACAGGAATCAAGGCTGCCGGGGTTTTAGCGCAGGGCTGAGCTTCTGAGTATAGTTGTTGTAAACCACTGCACACACGCACTGTTGTATATACCCGTCCAAGTGATAACAGCACGGCTTGTACCATTCGGTCACTACCTTTTTCCTGTTAGAGCACTTGTGCCACAATGCCGTACACACAACATGATACTTCACACGTGCACAAATTACACCCCCCTCGCCGAAGCGTCAGTCTGAGGCGCAAACATGCACGGAAGCTTGGTGCTGTGTGGCCTGCCGTAGAGGCGGCTGGATTGTGGCTCGGGGCTCATAGGCTTTCTACTACCGTAAAGCGGAAGATACGGAAGCAGGTTAATTCTTTTAGCGCGCAGTTTAAAGTCGCGACATGCATTATAAAGTGGCGACGATCCAGCAAGCCTTGAATGATGGCGTGGATACAAGTCGCAAGAACATGTGCAGCATGGGACGAATACATCATCCACTGGAGCTGCTGACGACTCCCCTCGAGGTCCAAAGACCTGATGTCGGATTTGTCACAAAGTGATTGCCAGAGGATGCAAGATGAAATTTTTCTGGTCTTAAGGAAATTCGGCCACCTCTAAGAGGGGCTGTATTTCGGAGTACCGGTTAACGTGACGGAACCACGAAATGTTGATCAGGTACTTAGTACCATCCTCGGGAACCGGAGGAGCGGCCGTAGGGGTGGGATCCTCGCTGGTAGCCGCGATCCCATCCCTGCTCCTGGTAGCGCTGTTGCTCTGCTCTGCGTGCATCAGCTTTGGCTTGTGCGATGCGAGAGCGTTCAGCGTTGCGCTGTCGCTCTTCGTATGCACGGCGTGCAATTCCGACCTGTTCCGCGAATTTCCCACGGAGCCACTCAGTCCAGTCCTCGGCAGAATAGCCGAGTCGTGGATCGACGTAGAGTGCCTCTTCTGAGAAAGTAACAATCATCTTCACGATTTTGTGCTGGAGGAAAACATCTACGAATTTACGCAAACTGTATGCCCCTCCCAGCCACATGATGCAAAACGGATCGTCACTCACTGCGGAGATCAGGCCTGCCCTAAGGGCGGCTGGATTGCACTCGTGCAAGTAGAGCAACCGGGCAATCTCCTGGTTCCTTGGCCCTTCGGAGCTTCCACCATAGGTGCCGACAGCCAACTGTCGTTGCTCCTTTGAACGGCCATGGTTCGGCAGGGCAGCATGCGTAAGCACGTCTTCGATGGCCAGAAACTCTCGATCGTACCCATTGCCGATGGAACTCATAGTGTAGTCCACATCGTTATCGAAGCGGTGTACGATGCTTGTGTAGCCTCCTTTTGTAGCCATCTTGAGCTGCTGCCGGGCCTTGTCCAACGCCTCTGCGTCAAGCGACGTAGTTCCCCGCTGGGTTGAGGAATCTCTGGTCATTTCATGAATGACCTCCTCTGGCGTCAGCTGGGAACGTGGCTTGCCCGCAGCGGCAGCGGCGGCCTCTTCAGCGAACCAACGAGCTGAACGCGCTTTCTTGCGTGCGTTCTGTTGGGAAGGCTTCACGATGTGCACGCCACAGCTCAAGCATATCATCTGTCCCACAAGGTGTTGAGTACCGCAGTGGGGACATGCCCTGTGACGGCCACCCGTAACGGGGGCTGGAGGGAGAGCCAAAGGAGTCGATTCCGGCTGAGGCGGTGCCTGCTCGAACATCGGCTCGATCTTGACTTCTTCCTCCTTTTTCACATCGCCTTCGTCTGGCTCGATCTCGATCTCGACTTCAACGGGATCTTCCGGCTCAAGGAAACGAACACGCTTTCTGGACTCAGTCGGTGCCTCCGGTGGAGAAGCGCCCCCCTGGTCCAATGTTGTGGTTTCCTCCGGAAGGAAGTCGGATGCTGTGGCGTCGTTGAGTGCAAGAGGTTCTGGTGATGATGCTAGTGGAGCAACCTCAACCTCAACTTCAACCATAGGCTCGTCTGCTGTTGCAGACGCTGCTGATTCGACCTCTTCATGGCCACCACTAAGTGGGGCTGAAGGTTCCTCCGGAATATCGGGGAACTGCTCCGGCTCAGCTGCTCCAGGATCGACAATGGGATCCTGGGCAGTCTCCGGAAGGATTGTGTCTTCCTCTTCGCCGGACTGCCGAGACCACAAAATGATGCCTTTGATCGTGTCTCTGATGTAGAGCACGCAACTCCCTGGCACCGGGTCGCGAGTGAGTATACCTTCGGAAGTTGTCTCAAACAGATAGGCATAGCGGTTCACCTCCTGAGTGTCGAGAACAACTTCATAAGGAAGGTTTGCTCGGCTGCCAGCTTTATTCTCAAGCTCGCTCAGAGTGGCCTTCGCGAAGTAGTTGTGAAACTTCCCGCTCCGGTTGAACCCCGGCGTGAAGCCAGTAGAGAGAATATTGAAAGCTGAATCATGCGTGGTTCGATGATAGAGGCGTGGGGGAAACTCCCCAAGAGCAAGGAATGGCCTGCCTTGATAGGCGGCTGTAGGACCAAGCTCCTCACGCGTATCGTTCGTGAACCAATGCAGAGCAATCGAGGAATCAGTCACTTGATCTTTGATGCGTTCGCTGTGACCATGCGACGCACAAATCCACGACGGCCAAATGTCCGTCTCGATGAAGTCAGCACGTGGATCGGTGGGGAGGCCTGCCAAGTTAAACCTCGATTTGTTATCGTAGGCGACTATGGACAAGATACCCCGTGTTCCCAGATCCACACGGTGCTTCTTCCACATGTGCTGAATGAGGTCTTGGATGCGTACCCATTTCCCGCGCCGTGAGCTGAGCTTCACGTTCGATCCTCGGACAGCACCTGTGAGGTAGCGCTCAACATAGGGTTTGAGGCCTAACTCAGGGAGGTGGTCCTTCGGGATCGAATCGGGGAGGATCTGAACGATCTCGCTCCCCTCCGGATCCTCTGGGCACACATCCTCGTCGATGAAGCCACACATTTCCATCAGGTCCAAGTCATCTTGGTATTTTACCCCGATGTAGTCGTGTGGGCGAGCCCTTAAAAGGCCGCTGGAAGGGTCCCGGTCTTTCTTGGTCATGCCCTCTTTCGCCGCTGACAGAGTGCGGTGAGACTCTGTGCGATAAGGGATGGCCTCGATGACATCGTCAAAGGACACCTCCGGTACATCGCGAGATGATGCACTGCCAGATGGGCCGCCACTAAGTGGGGCTGGATCCTTCCGCTCAGCACGGGCACGTGCTTCCGCCTGCTCTTTCGCGCGCTTTTGTGCCTGCTCGCGAGCTGTGGCCCATTCCCAATTCAGGACATCCTGAGGTACCTCACGCATTCCAGTGACCGGAAGATCAGGTGGAGGAACATAAGGGGATTCCCATGGATCAGGGCATTCATTCGCAGCTTCGCGAATCTCGGCCTGCCTTAAAAGGCGGCGGGAGAGCTGGGACCGATACAGCGCCTTGTCGAAGACATACTGCATGGAATATACCCGCGTTCCTTCTGGGTCGAAAGGGAAACGGCGGGCCAGCTCATCCAGCGTCTCTGCGGGCATCTTTGCGAATAAGTGGTCAGCTTGACACACTTTAATCCGCTGTCCGATCACAGAGGCCAAGGCTGCGCGATGCGTAGAGTCTTCGCGGAAGTGGTAGTGGTCGTGCTTTGGGATCTGGCATACGCTTTCTTTGAGAGAGGCGGTATACAACCCCCTGCTCCTTGCGTATCCGAGGAATTTTCGGATAGCTGTTCTGTATTCCGCTGGCAGCCCGTAATCCAGTGGGTCGGCATCCGAGAGGATTTGTATCGAACCCACTGTTGGCCTGCCCTGAAGGGCGGCTAGACGGCCAATTTCGCCACACACACGTGCGGCAATGTCCGCCCAGATCCCTTCCGCGGCAACGCCTTCAGGACCAATCTGCCAGTGTGGCGTCCCTGGGTCGACGAAAACACCTCTGCGACCGCACAGTTCGTTGCCCATCCACACAACAACGATATCGACCTCGAGATGCAAGGGGTTTAACGATTCGTTGATGATCTGCGGCAAGAGCGTGTGAACTGCCTCAACGATCGAGTGGAGGTTGCCTCCCCAAATCGCCTTTTGCCGGACATTCGTGTATTGCTGAAGGATATGACCAGGCCCCGTCAGAGCTTTAAAGTCTTCCGCCATCTCAACGAATGTTCTCGCCCCAGCCTTGAAAATGAGGGTAGAGTCGGAAACAATGATGCAGGCTTTTTCACGGCCACGGCTATCGCCGGGCTGGAAACGCGACAACCCCTCGTCGTTGATCCGTGCCACCTTAGGGAGGGCCTTATAGCCATGATCAACATCTCCCAGACACGTAGACAAAGCGGTTTGCGCGATTGCGCCTGTGTAGAGCTGTTTCACGCTCTCTTCCCAGTCACGGTCTGGGTTGAGTCCGAGCTCGTGTCCGAAGACACCGGCCCACATATGGTAGTGAGCCCACTCCCGCTTGATTGAGTCACCCGATGCGGCAATCGTCGCTGGCGCCGACGGCTTGTTCTCGCCTTCTGCTCGCACTCGGGGATCACTAATCATCTCTGGCGTGCTCTGATGAGCCGCTGCACAGGGGCAGGCAAGCACCTTCCTAAAGTTCGCAAGATTAGCAAGATGTGAAGATGTGAAATCCTCTAAATCATCATGATCTGCGACTTCGTGCTTGTAAGATGCCTTAGCGATCAAATGCTGGTTTCCTGAGCGGAAGCTTTCCTTAGCACAGTTCGCAAGTGGCAATGCCTGGAGCCCTGCGCACACCAGATATGCGTTTTCAAGTCGTGCAACTTC